TAAGCATAAACTTTGGTTTCTGACACTTTCATAACAGAAACTTTAATAATAACTCAATTATATAATATTTTTTTGTTTTTTGTACGAGCTAATTTAAAGGTTATAATGTATAATATGCTGTTGTTTATTGCTTATCGCAATTCTCAAAAAATTTTTACATTTAAAGCACCTAATACATTTTTATCTGGTTGCAAAACAGCATTTTTTCTTGATAAAAGTTTCTACTTAAAGTTTGAAGATTAAATTCTTACTAAAAACTGAGAAAGTTTCAGTACTTTGCCACCTGAAACTTCAAAAGTGAGCTAACAAAAAGTTTTTTTTAACTTTTTTAACGCTGTAAGCTGTAATAACACCTTCTGAAGAAAGTAAAAGACAATCAAAAAAAAAAATCGCAGAAGAAGAATAGAAATGACTAAAAAGTAGTGAAAGCGCGTCTTTCAATAAGAAGTAAAAAAAGTACGATAAAAGCACTTTTGCAGTTTTTTCAACAACCTTTTTTGATTCTTCTAAATGTTTCAGTTTTGTTAAAAGTTTTGAGAAATAAGAAAAACGAAAAAAATTGTCATTAACCTGACGACGCAGACTGTTGACTAAGGGACTGCAAACAGCAAATGGAAAGCCAGAGAAAATTCTTGTTCTCGAAACTTCATCTTCTGTTGGACTATTAACTTCATGCAAATAATTCTAAACATACGGTTAGTAATCAAAAAAATTAAAATATATGTGCCAGCATATCAAATTTGTGAAGAAAAACAAGAAAAACATTTTCTTACATAATAAGCAAAGCAAATTTCTGTTGTTATTTTCCGGCTTTTACATCTTCCTAGAATTTCTTCATTATAAGCTGCTAACGATTTATTCGTCTGTAATTGAGAAAATGCATCTTCAACCTACAAACAGCATATTTAGCTTTTTAGTAAATGCAAATCCTCTTAGTTGATGATAAGTTGATAAGTTTTAAAAATTTAGCCGTACTTTTATAAACTGATTAAAAAATTTTGCTGAAAAGTTTTATGAACAAACCTGAGTAACGTTTAATATAGTTTTATCCCTTTTTGTGTACTCAATGAAAGAGGCAACTGTTAAAGACTGGTTTAGTCGTTCAGAACTTATTTCCAAGTTGTGCACTACAAAAAAGTGGCTAAAATAAGCAGTTATCTTAAACAGTTGAGAGAAACGCGACAATCATTTTTTAATTTACACCATACCAACAGACGAGGAGTCAAGTTGAGGAATCTTGACTGGAAACAGAAAATGAGAGGAACCGATAATGATGTTGGCTATTGCGATAATCATACATCCCATCCCAATCCATCGTGCGCGGTTGCCCTGAAAGTGTTAACATGCAACAAAGTGTGGTACGTCTTACAATAAGGAAATAGTTTTATAAAATAACTTAATAAAATAATTAATTTTTTTAAAATTAGATCTGCATTAATTTTTTAGTGTACCACAAACTGTTTGTTATACATATTTTTATAAAGCGTTATTTTTGGTAATCTAACTTATTGTTCAAAACAAAAACCTTTTTTATTTCTAAAATTATTGCAACTTAAGTTGCATACTAAGAACTGGATGATACAGTATTACTGCTGACATACCTTACCACCAAAGTAGCTAACAAAAAGTACTGCTGGAATGTAACCAAAATCTCCAGCTGACACCATAAGTCCAGAAACTGTACTGGAAATTTGAAATTGCTTTTCTATTGATACAATAGCACTGAAAAAAATAGCACAAGTTAAATCTGGTTCTTGTAAAATAGATGGCAATTTTATGTTTTCAGAAAATATTAAATCATTCAGTGTCAACTATCACACTTTGTTTTCCTTTTTTATTTCTGGTTAATCGTTCAATTTTTTCAAACTTTGCTAACTTGCAAAAATTTATACGTGGTTAAAAAAGTGAGAATACCTCAACAAGTGCACAAACGGAAGAATTGTAGCGCTCTAAAGAGTAAAAAAAAAAATAATTAAGTTTTAGAGTTTATAATCTTATTCATTTACAATAATCTATTAAAATTTTATATGAATTTCCAAAAAACTCTTTTGCAGACACAAAAAATTGTTATCGTTTCTACCAAAGTTTAAGAAATTTATAACCGAAATTGTTTGCAAAAGATATATTTTTAAAACTCATTTATTTTGCAGAATATGTTGCAAATAGAAGGTGCTACTTTTACAATATTATAAGTTACGATAAGGTTACGAAATTAAGAATTGCAACAAAAATTGCGGTCAACGCAACATTTTTAGCTTCACAGAGCTTTGGTTTGACTGCAACAGTAATATAACATTCAAAAATGCTTGAATTCAGCTTGCTTATTAAAAAATTTTTCTTCAAAGTAATCACCGTAATAAATACTTTTTTAATTTATTACTTTTTTGCATCTTTATTAGACTTTTTTAATAAAAATATTTAGAATTGACTGTTAATTGCTATTGTTTTGTCATTATCTGTTTCTGCAATAGAGTGTATTGCAATAAAATTTTTATTTCCTTGCGAAATGTAAGCGTAAACGAAAAAAAATGTTAGGAAAATTTTTTCTTCCTTCCTCCCTTTTAGAAAAGAATTTTTGATAATCTTTTCAGATGGTTTACAACTATCTCATTAGAGTTTGTGGCAGTTAAAATTTAGCCTGGGAATGTCATTTTTACAGATGAAGCTCTAGCTGCTATTGTTTCTAATTTGCTTTCTGTATCGTCAAAAAAAAGACTTTCTTTATGCGATATTATAAAGAAATATTAAAAGAATACAGAGTAAAAATTAGACTCAGAAATTTCTAGTTTCTGCACTAAAACATAACTTTATCGGGATAGTAAACAATTTTTTAGAGTGCATTTTCACTCCTGAAAGTTTAAGAAGTGGCTCCGGTAAAAATATATGTTTACTGTATCTTAGGTTGGTCAATTTGATGCTAAATGAGACCCCAAAAAGTAACGAGAAACTCAGGACTGGTTGTAAATATGCTACAGATGAACAGATTACGATTAGCTTATGCGTTCAACGGTATCACTGAATTGGTTGACAAAACATCATTGAGTACTTTTCAACATAGTCACAAATTAATACTCCGTTGGAAGGATCCGTTGGCAAGACAATATTTGCTCTCAACAACAAAAATAACAACCACTATTCAGTTCCAAATATTTGAGTCTAAAAAGTTTTTCAGTTTTTTTTACAAAATTATTTTAAAACTAACTGATAGTAAAAAATTTTTATGATTACCGAAGTGGCTAAACTGAGTTATTTCTGAATATGACAGTTTTTTTAAAATTAAAGTCATAACTTTGTCACCTGTTACAACACTAAACGATTATGTCAACAACAAAATGTTCGAAACCTAGCCTCAAAAACCATATTGTAACCTCATAAATACCTTAAAGTTTTAATATGTTATAATAATTTGCGTTTTCATAAAAGATATTTTTTTTTCTAAACATTTTAATAATAAATTATCCAAGCACCAAATTTTCAATTTCTACCTATTTTTTATTTAGATCAAAAGTATTTTCAGCTTATCTAAGTCTGCTAGAAAACATGTTTTCAGAACAGTATAAACATTAAAAATTTTGTTCTGAATAAGGAAATTTCAAGTTTTTTAGATGACCGTTTCTAAGTGCTTTTTTTTTTCATATATTAGAAATGCTTATCTTTACCCTAAGCGCACTTTTTCAGGTACTCTCTTTTGAAACTGCAATCAATATCAAATTCTATAAATTGGCTAATTTTTTCCCTTCATCGAAGTAATATTTGAATTATTCATCAAATTCATCAGTCAGCTTACTGAGTTGTTACAGAATACAGATAAATGTTAACCTTGTCATATAGAATCCTCCAATAGATTCCAAAAAATAGACGACTACAAATATCATAAAGAATGCTCTTACCTGAAACATTCACATTGCATTGTTTTAAAAGCGATATAATAGATTAATGCAGATAAAACTGTCATAAGTACAATAATATACTTTTTTCTAAAAAAAAAAAATTTGAATTAAACTTATTATAAAGTCTATCACATTTTTTTCAAATGCATTTTGGTTCTAAATCTAATATACCAATAAAGAACAGACATCCTAAAATTTTATTTAAAAGCGTTTTTTCCGCCCTTATATTTTGAAAGAGATTTGTCACTGGCTAAACCCCTTAGTTGTTTGAAAGAAAACAGATAACATCTGAAACAAAAAATCGCAGATGAGCTGTAGAACTACTTCTAAATTCTGCAGTCTTTTGCTTCTAAACTGTTGCTAAATGCAGCAGTTATGAGGCGCAGTCTTATTCGCTAATAAAATATTTATCACTTCCTTAGGTCTTCAAGCACCCGCATTTTTAGAAGTCAAACTTTCATTCTTCACGTATCTTTCAGTGCCAATCTTCTATGAGCACTCAGCTAGTTAGTTTATCTTTCCAGTTTTTACTGTATATGATAAACTTATACTTTACATTGTTAAGCATTTATTGCTTGTTTTTTTTGCCAAAATTAAATTTTAACCTCTTTAACAGTCGGCAGTGTTTTGCGGGAATGTTACACTGTAGTTGGCACAAATTTGTTGCAGAAAAAAAATTATCGTATTTTTAAGTCTACTTATTTAGCAGTATCATTCGGCACAAAAATTATGAAAACAGTTGGTCACTTTTTTTTTTTTAATAATTTTTTTACATTGTTAGCTTAAATTATTTGCGTAATTAAGTCAAACCTTTGTTGAAGGTTTCATAGCTTGCTAGTTACAGTTCTTTTCTTCCCGAAGAATGACACTTGTCGTTAGTCTGAAAAAAATTTTTTTTTAAAAGCAATTATGTCTGTTTTTTTTTTTTGAGTTTTGATTAAGTCAAATAAACGTTTATTGAACGCTGTGGTTAAAGAAGATTTAGCGAAGACATTAAAAGGTACATTAAAAGGTTACATGAAAAATTTTAGAAAAAAAAAATTAATGTGTGATAAAAACAAACCACCTGCAGTGATAAATAGTTTTTGAAGTTGAGAATCTCAAAGTTCTCAAAACTGTTTTTTTTTTTTTTTTAGAGTTCAGCGTTTATCATTTTTGTTGTTGTTATGTTTATATGCTATAGAGGTGATAATCTCTAAAAAGTGTTTGGAAAACAAACCTTCTACCAAAAATTACCAAAATTTTCAAGCTTTTTTTAATGCTACTACATAATAAAAATATGTAGCAAAATTAATTTATCTGATTATATTTTGATAAGAAAAAGTGAAAAAAAATTTTAAATTTTTTATTTGAGCTGAAAAAATTTGTCAATTAAATTAATGGTAGAAAATAACCTAAAGTATAATAATTACCTCTTTGAATAAAACAAGAAAACAGCAAAATTTTTAAAATAATTTTTTAAAACATTATGATCTACAAAATGTCGAAGGACAATTAACAAGAAAACAACAAACAGCTAATGGTTGACTCTGAAAATTGATTCTCAAAAAAGCAGTTAAATAATGGCGTGTTCTCTCTCCTATAGGGACCACTGATAAGATAAGATTTTTGTTTTCTGTTCTTTTCAGGCTGTAAGCGGAAAACATAGTATAAAAGTCTTGCTTCGATCACTCTGTTCTACATAACTATAAATAGAACGTCAAAACTAGCAGCATTTCGTCACTTTTCGTTACTGAAAAGTAAGCAGTAATTTGTCTAATAAGTAAAAACTACTTTTTCAGTTTACGTTTAATAAAACTATTTTTTTTTGTCTTTAGAAAAAGCAGTTAAGAGCAGTTCTTCCTTGAGTGTTTTCAAAACTGTAATTTTTGCTGCTTTTTCCTCTC